TCTGTGCTGGGTAAGGTGTCGGGCTGATTTACAAAGTGACATGCGGTGAACGCGCCATTTTGTGGCCGTGGGCTGCCTTGCCAGTGGGGGTGGGGGTTTCGTTTTGTTCCTCTGGGAGTTCTTTGATTAGCATATGTCTGCTGCTTGATTGTGTGCCTGGTGGTGACCTTTGCTTATCTGGGTGATGATTGCTGGTAATTGAATGCTGGTGAGGTGATCTTCTGGTCTTTTGTCTCTTTTGAATAGTGTGTAGATGCTGTTATGTGTCTGTTAATTGCTGCCTTGTCTGAATACCAGGCTTCCAAGAATTCTCTTGCATATTTGCATATTTCTTAGTGTACATGAAGGGTGCTATAATATGCTCCACCACACATTTTTTCCCCCTCTTTTGGAATAACAGGATCATGGAGTTGAAAGTGGCCATTCAGGCTGGCAAATGCAATCCCTTGGTCAGCAGAGAAATCCAATTTCACTCCTTACCAAAAATTATCTCTTCAACCTGTGCAGGGCATCCACCTGCACCCTAAAGCATTGGTTCTGCGGTCAGGCTACTCTTACCATTAGGAGACTTTTCCTAATGATTTGAATCTGCTTTTCTATAAGTGATTCAGTGTCCTTTACTCTGGAGTGACCAAGAACGAGTCCTGACCCTTTTCTTATGGCGTCCTTCCAAATATTTGAGAAGAATTAGTCACCATTTAGTCTTCTCAAGACTAAGCACACGTGGTTCTTTGTAGGGTTTTGGTTCTTGGTTTTTTTTTGCAATCCCTTGGTCATCCTTGTTATCTTTCACTGAAACTGTTCTACTCTGAAGCCTTTTGTCAGAGGAGACCAGCATCACTTTTTCCAACTAAGAAATTTTATTAAAAGTTAGAAGCTTTCATGCATTACAGCTCACTTCATCAGATGCACAGACTGATGTAAGACTGAAACTGGGAAGAAGCTGAGGGAAAGGGAAGACTAGTTGATTATACAGAAGCAGATTACATGTGAGACAGATTACACATGCCTTATCAGTTAACAATGGTAATGTGTTGAAAATATATTGCATTTCTTGAGACCTTTTGAGGAATCTTTTCGGAAGGATTCAGGAATGGAACCATTTCAACACGATGCCTCCAATCTTCAAGCTGCAGAGGAAGGCACCTTGGCCAATGGCATTAATGCCACTGAGAAATCCAGGAGGATCAAGAGAGGCTCCTTTCTCAATGAAGATCGCCACTCAAGATGCCCAGAGCTATGCAGGTGCCATACCCATGCCAAAAGCTTGAATGAAAATGCAAAGCCACATGTCTGTGGATTTGGATTCCTAAATTCCTATATTAGAGCAAAACCCCATGCATCTCACAGCTACAAGAGCATCATACTCACTCTTTCACTTCAACAGTAGCAGCATAGGGTGAGCAGCCCCCTTCCACAGCCACAGTGAACCCCCTTTTGCCATCAGTGGCTGCAGGCATGGAGATGAGCGTCAGAGTGTACGGCAGCTGTTCACACAAAGACTCTGTTGACAGTCTTTCGATCATTGGTGTCAGCACAAACTGGTTATGACATTTGCCACTGAAAAAGGAGAGCAGAATTTTGCTGTAAGTTTAGACCAGAGGGCTGAAGAGGCCATGTATGGTCTCCACACCCAGGTTGTCAGCTACAAAGCAGCCCATCTAAAGCCTTCCCCTCCCCTACAGTGCTACTGGCTGCAAAGACAAGGTCTATATTTGGACAGCTGTTGCTACCACCATTCACTCTTTGACCCTCCAACACTCCACTGCCCCATGGTTATCTCCCCAAGTAGGACCATGGTGGCCAGGAGCTGGGAATGCATCAAGATCCCAAGCTATAGATCCAAGGAGGAGCTTGGCTGACCAGCAGGAAAGCACATGGTCTATTTTCCACTTCTGTTTCAAAGGAGTTCCAAGACAACAGGAGGACTGTCATCAACCGTCTAGCCTTCCCCTTTAGCGGGCACTCAGAGATCTGGGTTGCACATGCAGCTCATGGCAGTTGGCCAGTGAACTAACCACTGCCTCCTAAAAACAGCACAGGTCTTCTGATTCCTGTTCCCAAATCCTATACGCTGGCAGGGCCTCTTCCACCCCGGAACATGGATATGAAAGATTGTCCAGAGAGAAGAAAAGCAGAACCGTCTCGTGCAATCTTCCCTTACCTGGTGCCCTGAAGATCCACTGATTTTACAATGCTCCTAAATCCCAGCAGAATGGGACTGCACTCAAGTCCCCTTCCCTCCCTGGGGGAATGCAAAGGGGAAAACCTCAAACATCTCTTCCCACTCTCACTTCTTTGGTGTCAGGACAGATGAGGGCCAAGTGCAGACCAGAGGAACCTCCCTGTCCCAAAGAGCCATCCAAACCCACAGCCGAGCATTGCTGCTCCTCCTCACCAGTAAAGAGCCGAGTGCTGCACCAAAGCATACGTGTCACCATCTTCAATGATCACTTTACATCTCATACATGCAAAGCATTCTGGGTGGTACTTGTATTCCCCAGCCACCTGCAAGAAAAGGGATGTGCAGGATGATAAAGAAGAAAAGTGAGGAAGCTTTAGGAACCCTACCACTGAATGAAATCCCAATGATGCTTTTGCCCTTTTCCTGAAAACAGACTCTGTAGTGCCGTCAAACCAGAATTTTATCACAGTCTGAAATCCCAGCTTCAGAGATATCTCAGGATCAATGAATCCTTCTGCAGCCTTGGAAGTTATCAAAACCGAGTACATGATGGGAGAACAGTGCTCCAGGTGAGAAGAGAGCAAGGAGCAAGTTGGCCCCTCAGTACCCTTCGGTTCCAGGAAGGAGAAGCTGGGCTAAGGCGAGGGGTAATCCCAATTCAGAGCAGGAAATGAGGAGCCAAACCACAGGGCGGTTGCTGCTGGTTGGGAAACAGAGGCAGGATCAACAAGCCAGGACAAAAACCGGCGGTTGGATGATTCAGGGAAGGAAAATCTCGGGAACTGTCTGGGGGAAATTACCTTGCAAGGCTCTGTTTGGTTTTAATCAGACTTCTTGCTCACCAAATAATGTCATACGGACTGCAGGAATCTGGGAGGGAGACCGTAAGCCAAGCCAGCTACAGACCTGTCCTTGGCAGTATTTCTTGCTTGCCATACTGTGCCTTCAGGACTCCTCCACAGGACAGCGGAGGTGCTCTCTTCCCCTTCTCCCCCTTGTGAAGGAAGCTGCCCTCTTCCTCAGGGCAAAGCAAAGCTAGAAAACCTGGGAGCCCAGAGCCTAGAGCTGCCCCCTGCCCCCTCTCTCAACTGCAAAAAATAGTTGCTCAGCTTCCAGCTACTTTGAAGAAGAAAATGAATAACCCAAGAGACTCATCCCCCATTAGAAAATGTGGGAAATCCCAGCTTTGCCCATCACATCAGTGAAAACACCCATTTTCTCAAAAGGAAGTAAACAAAGCCCTGTTCATCAAAGAGATGGCCGTTCCCTTAAGGAAAGCATCTGCCTGCTTTGTGTACAGCAAGGAAGGGGCGTCCTCTGCACTGCAGCCTTCCCCAGGCATCAGGCAAAGATCTCAACCCACAAGGCCAGCAAGGCCAGCACAGGAGCAAAATAGGGCCCCCCTCCAGCCCAAGAGGGCCCTCTGGTGGCCACCACCAGGTTTCAACACTCAGATGGTGTCATACATGAATTCAGGCCGCGGAGTCCACTGGGGTCACTAGGTCTGAAATGGGCTGCAGTTTCTCACCACTTTGAGACAGGAAATACATGAAGACAATAGCAAAGTCCCTTAAATGGGATTAGCATTATTTAAAAATAAAAATACTCCCAAGCCCAGGAAGAAATAAGAAACCGTGCTCCCCACCATGCAAGTGATCTTGCCTTGCCACACCCCCTGGCATCATGCTCCTACCCAGCACGGCCCTCCAGGCCCACCCAAATAGGAAGCCTGACCTCAGGACCCTAAAAAGCCATTCTTCCAGCCTTTCCAGCCTTCATGGGAGGGGTTAAGGGATGAAATGAACGCCTTACTCCTTGACTTCCACGCGTCCCTTCCCCCAGTCAGGCACCCAACCCTTGAAAGGGCCAAAAATCTGGACCTGTGACTCATAAAATAAAGCAATTTTTGGTTAAAAAGCCCAGTGTTGAGAGTCTGGCCTAGATGTCTTAACAATGCCGCTATTTCCTGGAAGCCCCCTCCCCACTTGCCAGAAGACATGTGTTTACGCCCCCTTCTAGGAGAGAAGCCCGCCGATCCCATCATCAGGGCTTCGAAAGGCAACTCCTCTCTACAAAAGGGAAGCCAGGAGCACCAGCTAGCCAAGGCAAGGGAGGGACAGGAGAAGACCTTACCATGACGGGCCCCGTCATCAGCAGCGAGCAGCCGTGGCAAGACTCTCCAAACTTCCGCCAGTAGTCCTTGGGGCAGTACAGCTTGGCATCCTTCTCGTAGTACCAGTTGGTGAGGAGGTCCTGGCACTCAGAACAACTGGCAGGGAAAAGAAAGAGTGCTGGATGTTTTATTTGCTAAATCGCAGAGAAAATAGGGCAGAGGCGTAAGAGCCAACAGCAGTAATGCCAGCAGCTAACAGAGAGTGACACAGCAGTACTGTTCTGGCAGACATACTCAAGAGCAAATGGACAGCAAGACAACCTTGTCAAGCCTGCGACAGCTGGCCAGGGCCAGGTTATACTAAGAGGGACTGGCAGCTCTGCCATCTCTCTCCAGATAACTGGGTCCACTCTCAAGGTGGGACCATCAAGCATAGCTGAGAACAGACTGAAAAGCCAGAAGGACTTGGTTCTCCCCAGGCTGCCAGGCTAAGCCTCAGCTGCACTGCACAGCCCTGAGAACAACTGGGGGACAGGCCCCTTAAGACCCAATGTGGAAGCTAACTCAGGTGGGCGCAAAAGGCAGAGCTCTGCCTCCCTCTGAGTCCAACAGCAGCTGTGACCCTGAACTGAGGCCCAATGACAAGCCTGTCCACCAAGGCTCCTGGACTAGGATGGGAGAAGGCATGCTATCTGGCTGCAAAGATTTTTTTAACAGTCAGATGTTCCATCTTGCCCTCCTGTTCCTCTTTTCCTTTTGCAGTACAGGTAGTCCTTGACTTACGACGACAATTTGGATAGAAATTTCTGTCACTAACTGATGCAGTTGTAAAGTGCAGCATCCCGCGATTGCATCGCTTAGCAATGCAGCAATCCCTGCAGACCTCGTTGCCATCATTAAGTGAGGATTGTGGGTCATTAAGCTAGCACCTCCTTGCAACGTCCTGCCAGCTTCCAACAACCAAAGTCAGTGGGGAAGCTGGCAGGAAGTTGCAAGTCCCAGGCAGCTCGCAAGCAGGCTGGCAGGGGGTAAACGGCTGCTGCCAGGTGGGCAAAGAAACAAGGGATGCGCAGGTGCCTGGGGAGGCACACCATGAGTGTGGTGGGGCATGTGGTGGCTGCTGCTGGGTGGGGAGGCACAGTGCAATCTCAGTGAGGTTGGGGAGGGTGCATGAGATTGGCTCTGCCTGCAAACATCTTTGGATCAGCAGTGGCAAATTAGATCTTCTTGTACCTATTTGAGAAAAAAATGATTAACTGTGCCAGAGAAGCATCTTCAGCCTGGGTCCACACAGTGCTGACAAGAATAAAAGGGTGGAAGGAAGTTAGTACAGGATCCACTACGGTATTTCTGACAGATGACTATCTAGCCTCCATTTCAAGACTGGAATCAAGGACAGCTCACCGCTTCATGTGGCGCTGGTTGATGGCTTTTACAGTCAGGAAGCTTCTCCTGATGTCCAGCCTGAGCCTCGTCCTTTGCAGTTTCAACCCAATGGTTCTGGTCCTGCCCTCTGGGTAATAGAGAACATACCCACTCCCTCTTTTATACAAAAGGCCTTCAAATATCTGAAGACTCTCCTATCATATCTCCCCTCGGTTGTCTCTTCTACAGACGAAGCATATCCATCCAGCTCCTTTAACCATTCCGCATAGCGCTTGGGTTCCAGAACCTTCACCATTCTGGTAACCCATCTCTTAACTTGATTCAATGTATAGAAAAAAACCTCAATAGTGGTCATTCAGTTGTCAGACCTTCTAGGATTTAGTGACATGTGTAAGAAGAGGCCAACACCCTTTGGACCCAGTTATGTATTATCTGTAGTGATGAAATTTTCAGAGCGTGTCCTGAACTGACTAGATGATTGCTACGTTCATGACACCTCTCTCCTTTTAAACTGCTTCCTTGGATCAGGGGAAGGAGTAACTCTAACCTGGTGCTCTCCTAAAGAACCTCAAAACCCATTATCACATGTGGGCTGAAGAGCAGCAAGGCTACTCTGTGCGTCCTTCACCTCTGACTCAAGTCTACCCTTGTGTGATATTGGAGGGGTAATGTTCTCAGCATCACTGCTTCCCTCCACCACAATTGCTACACATCCTTCAAAGCAACAGCTGAAATGCTACAGTCAAGCTAGAATCTAGTTCTGAAGGTATCTTGCCTTATTCCCGAGAAACCACAACAGAAGATGGACTACAGGATGACACAGTCATCATAATCTGTAGAAAAGAGAAGCAATTCCCCAAGTGCGTATTTCTTTCCAACTTTTATTATTCTTCTATCTCTTCAGGTTTTTTCAGAGCAAAACTAAGATACCGTTAGATTGCTGTTCTGAAACAATACAGTGCAGTCTATTCCTCCAAAGAGAAATAGACTAAATAGCTTCTAAGGATGAACTGGAATATTCCAGCTACATTTGGTAAATTTAAGGTCTCCAGCATTTGGTGCTGTCCATTCTTTTCTCCAGACCTTCTGAAACTGCTAAAAAGATGACCAATGCTCAACTGTAGAGATGAGGCTGTAATGCTCATCAGAGCCAAGTTGTAGCTGCAGAAAGGCTCACTCACCTCCAACCATCTGTTATTGGCTACTTTGAAAATTAAGATTAATCCTACATACTAATCTGACCTTCAGTTAATGTTGCTTGATTTTAATACAGGAAGCCTGCACATATTCCCACCTCTTCAGCTTAGGAAAGAGACAATGAAGTAGAAACCCGACAAGAAAACCCCAGTTAGAGTTTGGTTTCTTCCAACCAGAGGCAAAGTGAGGCTTCATGAAAATAATGACGGCACATTTCCATCTGCTTGAACCAAGAAACATCTTTTGGAAGACGGACCACGATGAAAATTGCTTGGAGTCTGTGCCGTATTAAAAGAGCTCCCTGAAGCAGCTGTAGTTACCTGAGCAGCAAGGAAAGAGACCGGAGAACTCTTAGCTATCACTGAGCAAGAAAACACCAAAGACACCCCCCCCGCAAACGGAGACACACTGTATTCTTGCAGTGACTCTGAACACTTTGTGACAAACACCACTGGCACCTGACCCTTGGCAAGATTTCAAAACTATCTTTATCCTCCCCAAAAGCTCACTGCCTTTGCAGCAAAGACCAGTTGTTCCATGGGAGAAAGTACTTTGGCTTCTAGTTGCGGACTCTTGAAACCTTCCCAAGCAGGAGACATGCTGGTGCTAGCAGGACCATGCTGTCTTCACCCAACTGGTATGCCTTTCCACAGATAGCTCCACCCGCCCAATTTGTTCATCGTGCAACTGAACATGAAATCTGACACCAGCTGAAAATGTGCCATTCTGAAACTCTTTGCATTTGTTTCTGGCTCTCGCTGGTAAGAGAACTGGGAAGTTGATCCAGATTTCATGGCAGGCAGGGAGAGGGGTCTGTAAAGTGGTACCAAAGCATTTTATGCATGAGTTCACTAGCACAGACTCCCATGCAGCATCTGTGCCTACCAAGTGAGTTTTGGAATTCCCACTGGGAAAAAAGCCATTATCGTGTCCCACACTATCTGAAAGACAGAAACAGTCCCCACCTACTTCTTTTTCTGTTCTTCCTAGAATCTACAGCAAAATTCACGCAAGGGGACATCGCATTGTTTAGGCCCCTTTAAGTTTACTTGCAGCTTCCAGGAGTGCATTTTGGAAATAGGCCCCAGATATCACTCTTTCCTTATGCTCAATGACATTTTTCATTTATTTTAAAACGAGGTTCTATTGTTGCATAAAAGCCGGACAAGATCACCTCTATCTAGAAAGTGTCATGAACTGAGTCAAATCTCCTACGTATTTTGCAATCTACTGACAAAACAGCACATTAAGTTTTAAAACCAGATTCTAAATACTGTACACCTAAAGAAAACCAGTGGGTGTTCTTTTGGTTGCCTATGCTGAAAGATGCAGCCTGATAGCCGATCGACAGCTTCTGACCATCCGTAGTTCTTTATAAGCTGATCTATACCAGGGAAAGGCAATCTGTGGAGATGGGTGAGAACTTGTAGAATTTTGAGAATAAGACATGGGCACCTTCACTGAATGGCTGCCACGTTGGGAAGATCATTCACAAATATCTTGATGACCACAAAGTCAACTAGTAAAACTGCTCACTGCCACTCCCTCTAGTACCAAAAATGCTCTTCACCATCTCAGCTCACCTTTATCTTTTTTCCAGATTGTTAGACATACTTCCAAAGAAAGAGTGCAGTTTCCCACCATTTTTACCTTCCAACAACCTGAAGCTCATAAGGGGAGGGATTTATAGACACTTTGGCACTCATAGGCACTATGTACCACTAACTGCTGATGCCTACCACCAGGCCAGGAATAATAGACATTATCAGTGTTATATTCCAATAAACTACCGAGATCATGTATAAAATTACAACTTCCTCTTCAGTAATAAATTACACATAGTCCTCGACTTGTGACCACTCATTTAATGACCATTTGAACTTATAATGGCGCTGAAAAAAGTCACTTACGACCGGTCCTCGCACTTACAACCATTGCAGCATCCCCATGATCAAGTAGTCAAAATTCAGGCGCTTTGCAACTGGCATGTATTTACAATGGTTGCTGCATACCGGGGTCATGTGATCACCATCTGAGACCTTCCCAGCTGGCTTATGACAAGCAAAACCAATGGGGAACTGCATGATTCACTTAATGACCATGTGATTAGTTTAACAACCACATGTTTCACTTAACGACCACTGCAAAAAATGCTGTAAAATCAGGTGCAGTCACATGACACCTTGCTTAACCACCACACCACTTAACGACAAATTTTCTGGTCCCTATTGTGGCTGCAAGTCGAGGACTACCTGTAGTCTTACTTTCCATGTTGTATCTGCCATATGGACAGAAAATCCTACCATAGAGTGAAACAGACAAAGACACCTGCAATTATCATCCCTTTACCCAACTTCCAAGCTAGGAAGAAGGAAGACTGATTGAAGGCAGGGCTCCCAGACTGTTGCCTCTCTTCACAAACAATGTCTACTGGGCAGACAAGGCAAACAGGAGGATAGATGGCCAAGACTTACCAAAAGGGCTTCCTTGGAGTGACATAAGCCGAGGCAGACAAGTAGCTTCCCATCTCCAGAGCACTGGCTAAACCAGCTTAGCAGCAAACCTGTCCAACT